CAATATTTTTTTAAATACAAATATGAGTCATGCGATAGCTCTCTTGAAAGGTCTTGTATAGTTATAGTTTAGGTAATAGAATTTTGTGTAGCGCCGAAGAAAAGATCCTAAAATTATAACAAAAAATTAGTTTTTAGCAACCCAAGGTAAAATAGACTTTCAAATTGATGACCCTCAGTTAGAATACAGTGAGAAAACTCTTCTCGAACTTTGTCTATACCTTCCGGGGTTATTTGTGCCATCTTCAATATATTAATTGTAATATTTCCTCGGTGTATATATTTAAGAAATATATTTGAAAAGTCTCTAACTTAAACACTGTTAAGAAAGTATTATTGTTGTTGTTTTCAAGCTATACCACGGAGATATAATGTAGGTCAAGTAAATGCAAAGCAGCTGAATTTTACGGTGAATAATGTACTAAAGAAAAATTTGGCACAACTTTTTTTCGCTATGAAATCGCTGTAAAACTCAAAATTTTTATATTCATTTTTACATTTCTTATCTAAAATCGTCTTTTAATTTCACTGTTAGGAGAAACTACAGTCAACTTTTGTTTTTTTATGGCTTCCACATCATATTTTCTCTCTTTTGATCCAGCTAATTTTTGTAATTGCAATCAATGTTGGTTTGCAGTTACTGTCAAAACACCAAATTATCCATTTTAGTTTCCAGAGTACTTTGAAATTTAAACATCCAACTATTACATCAAATGAAATTCTGAAAGTCTAGTTAAATATTTATTGACTATATATTTAAATTATACCCAAAAAGTGTCCTAGTCTGAGTTTAAAACGGCTACTACTTCTCTTTTTCAAGAGGAAAACGATAAAACGTTCAGTTTTTCATCTAGGTGTAACTTCAAAATGCAAAAAGGTAAGTTCAGTGTCCCTTAGACACCTCATTATAGATTATTTAACCTAACCCTAATTTGATCCAATTTGTATCTCTTAAGATAGCCGAGATTCCCAGTTAATTTAATTTAAATCGACTTTTTACATTTATTTGATTAATCAAGAGACTGAATTACATTGGTATATTCAACACAAAAATTATGGTAGAACATCTAGCTTCATTAAATTTATCATGAAATTAGAGAAAATAGAAGAGTATGGGTAAGATATAACCCAACCGCTGGTCAAGGCATGTACACTAAAGCTCTTATTATCATAATTAATTAGTAAAATATTACTTAGAAATAATAGAAAAGACGAAAAACGATCAAGAGTGGGTGTGGAGGTAGTAGATGCATACTTGTGACATAATTAACAATTAATTATACTTAGATATTACCGAAGAATTACTTAATTACTGACGTAATACCCGTAATCCAACCTGTTTACTAGATATTACGGGCATAATTCAACGGGGTGGCATTAGTCCGTCGAGTAGTTGCTTCTCGCAATTACAGTTACAATTTGACAATTGAAGAAGTTCTAATTTATTGACGTGTTTTAGTTACTTTTTCTAAATGAGCCCGTGACATTTTCTTGAAAACTTGATTTATTTTGATGAAGTCTTTATCAACTATGTTCTCAACCTTTTTGAGACACCGGCAGATATAATTTCTAATTCGAGAAAATGTTGTGAACGTTCATATCGCATCGTTTTACTGCTTTGACCTCATTAAATCATTGTATATATAATATTATAAGTTGTTTAGTAAAAAAAAATTATTCAGTTTTCCATAGGAATATTGTGTGACGCTCATAAATAAAACATATCTAAATTAAGAAGACATTGTTTTTACATTTACTGATTTGACCTAAACTGTTTATACACGATGTGTTAAACAGAAAATATGTCTGGATAGAATCCCAATTGAAACCTAAAAATGAGTAGCGGTTTCAAAGATATTTAACATTTTCAACAATTTATTTTGGTATGAAATCATTAGATACTCTATATTTTGCAATTAGATAATTTGTCAAGTGTTTTATTTCTTCAATTCCAAACCGCAATTTTTATTTATTTCAGATTAAACACTGTATTTGGCGCTCCATGTTACTTAAACCTAAACTCTATTTTGCATAGGTTTCGAAAAGATTAAAGTCATACCTTTTTCAGATATTTACGATTCTCTTGGGTTTGTAGAAAAAAAAACAGTTTGTTTACTTTTAGATTGTTTACTACGTAATTGCTTGGAACAGCGACATCAGTGACGTTTACATTTCTGCAGTAAGTAATAAATACTGTCATGTGTGAAGGTTATGTTTGTCTCTAAGTTGTACTGTACTTGTAACTATAAAAATTAGGTTGGTAAGATCTGGAGATAGATTATAGAGAACTTGACTGTGTCGCAGGAAATATTTTTATATTCTGGCATTTAATAGTTGTTATTGAAGGTTAGGTTAGGTTGGGTTTAACTTCGTTTTTGCTAAATAATTTTGGTCTAAAGATCTATCTAGAAAAATACTCATTACGCCTAATCTAACTTCCAGTATATAATCGATCACCCCGAATAACTTTGCAGGATAAATCCAACTGAAAAACTTTCAGAATAAAAGTTGTAAGGTTTGGAGGAGGGCCTACGATAATGATCTTGGTTTTGATCCAGAGGGGTAATTTGGAGGTCAACTTCAAAATTTCGTATGGAAACCCCATTTGTTTTATCCAGAAATGGAAAGAGCAGAGAAGTATTTTGATCTTGGGTCAAATTGACCCCTAGAAGCCCACTGAAGGTCAAATCAGCTTTCCAATAGAAATGTTTACATTTTATGTCAAAGGTTGATAAATTTTTGTGGCAAATTCCATTCAATCTGCCATGGTCATGGTTGTTGGTCTAATTGTGACTCTGACCTTGAGGCATGGGGTCAAATTTAGTGGTCTGGATAATACTAATGTGGTTTCCATTTGAAATTCTAAAGTTGACCTCCAAATAACCCGTATACTTTTACCTCTGGATCGAAACCAGGCTCATTATTGTACGGCACCTTTAAAACCTTACAACTTTTGTTCTGGAAGTTTTTCAAGGTCATCCTGCAAAATTGTTCGGGGTGATCGATTAAAATGGGACATGGTGTATAAGATGTTCCAGAAATAATTTTAACTACACATTTCATTCTTTAAAAACAACAACTTTTATCTACTACATTTTTTCGGGCCGTTTTATTCTGTATTTTATACCTAGAAAATGTATGCAAATTTGTTATGAAGCGATATTTTTTCCTGGCCTATACAGGGTGTTTGTGAATAAGTGCGCAATACTTTAGGGAGTCATAGGTCGAAATATGCTTCGTTTCCGAGATCCCGTGTTCAAATTTTAATTTTTTATTTATTTTTATTCATTATTTCAGTCTTGAATATCCTGTATCTCGAAATCGATTAATTTTTTACCCACATTTACATCAACTTTTTATTTTCAATGTTGAATTGCATTTTTACTTTGACCACGCTTTATTAAAAGAGACACTTATATAAAAGATTAACAAAACCTCCATACAATAAAATATGTTTTATTTTTTTTCCTCAAAAACGATTCGTCCTACGAAAATAATCGGAGCGACCAATTTCATTCAGAATTGATGGAGCATTTTTAAAAAATATCCAAACTGGCACGAACGCCACTGGTGCAAGTATAAATATTCGGGTAACCTCAAACAATGTACATTTGTTCCTCCAAAGCGTGTTTCAAATTTCGAGTCAATATTTTTAAAACTCTTTGAAATAATTAATAAAAATAAATAAAAAATTAAAATTTAAACACTACTAAATGCGAATACTAATTATTTCTCATTTTTGTGTTCTTTTCTGTTTAATATTAATTCAAGCTAGTATTTCGACTTATGTTCTAATAGCGGTCAAAAAAATGTAAAATTAAAAAAATGTTCCCAAAACTAAGATTTCAAAAATGATTTAATTTAAATGTGATGTTATATATTTTGATATTAATTCTTGGACACTCTGTATATTGTGTCACTTACTATTTTTCTATAGGAGATTTTCTATTGGAAACTGAGTCAGGTCAGGTCAAGCTTTTTTTTTACTTTACTTATGACACAACTAAACCAAATCAATTTACTTACACTTCTTACGTTTTATCGAAATTTGTTTTTCAAATATTGTATTCCTAAATTTGATGTTATATTAAAGGTTATCACTTATTCCTAACCTATTCCGACCGAAAGTTAATTCTTAAATTGAATATTTTTTTTATTGCGTATTTCGATTCATCACCGAAAAATGTGAAACTATTTTGTCTAAAACATTTTTTTCTAAAATGCATTTTTTGGTCCCCATGACCTTTGAGTGGACCTCGGGCCGATTCCCGTGAAAGACTACTTCCGATCGGAACCGGAAGTTGAAAACATCTCTAACCGATCGGTCAAGGTCCATTTACTATTAATGTAATGTAATTTTACAAAAAAGAATAATTGATGTATTCTTACCTACTATGCAGCGTAAGGGGAAAACATCAACTTTCATTGGCCGGAGGTCCAAAACAAAGGACTTTCAGACTTTGTATCCATTGAGCCTTTTGATCCACGCGATCAGAACTATCACGTAGCAAAGTTTTAAAAAAAATTGCCTAAAACCACTTTCCATAAGGATTGGGCGGGGTTCTTTCCGTATTTCTTTTGATAAATATTTTGAATTTCAATTATTTTGCTTTGCAATGGCAAGATGAGTGATTTTTAAGAAAATTACTCACAATCTTTTTCTAAATAATCATTGTTCATTAAACAAAGTAATACATTTTTCGATACAAATAAATTGTAAAATAAATAGCGACAAGCCAGTTATTGTTTTTATTAATTGGTTTTCTTTTTAAAGCAATTAGTTTTCTCAATATTAAGCAACTTATACGAACAACTTTTAGTTGGATCAAAACTGTATTTCAGTGCGATACGAAGATAACAAAAATAATATCTCTCATTTAGTAGCTGGGAAAGTTATTCGACGTAAATAAAGCAATAAAATATTCCGACTTTTCCGCATCCAAAAAGTAAGTTAGGTTCCGAAATGGAGGACGCTAGCATTAATTAAATCTGGCGACTTACGTGATTAAGCCGGGAGAGAGCAAGTCCCCGTTAACCCCGTCCATATAAATCGGGAAGTTCTGGATTGTTAGTTCCGCAATCCGCAGTGTTCCAACGGCCACACAACTATCACTTGTTCCCGCACAGCACAGCACACTCGCGTTCTTGGATCACGGCAACTGCACTGAGCACTTTAATTTATGAGTGTCGACTGTTTTCAGCCAGTTAGATAAAATTTTAAATTTCGCAGTTATTTTCACTGCTGACCTGGACTATTTTATTTTTATTTCCTGCGATATATCTGTCGGCTTTTTTCTTCGCACCGCGACGAATGGATGCGGGGCTCCAGATTCCAGGTTATTAATGCTCCAAGGTTCACCTGAAAATTAAAGTAATAATTAGGGTTGGCCTCTCGCTCCTCGTTAGGTCGGCGAGATTAATTCTGAGCTTAAATTATAGAGCAATCTTCTTCCAACGTCGCAATTACTCCAATGACTTTTTGCGGGGAAATTGTTTCATGAGTGGATTTTGTGTTTTCCATTCGAGACACACTTAGACCCTTCCGCTTTTATCGTGATTTCGTACTGAAAACTTTGGCCCGATGTTTTGGCAGAATTTTTGTTTTGCACACGAAGGGGTCTTAAGCTATTCATACACTAGCGTTCTATGGGATCATTCTTTCCTTTAATATTATACAAATAAATAAAAGGGTAACTAAAGACGCATTTACACTCTCCACTTTGGATTATCATGACGGATAGATCATCATCATGAGAAGTGAACATAAACATAAATGCATATATACTATACATATAATTTGCAGTATAATTAGATCCTAGTGAAAATAATTAATAGAGGCCAAATATTTTTTATAAATCCTCAAAAGGCACATATTGGAAGCTAGAACTTCCTCAAAACTTTTTTTTTTGTCAAATTTTGAAAAATTGTGTCAGTTCTAATAGTACCTCACTATACGGGATAATAATTGCACACATCTTAAGGCAAGATTGCTAATGCTAAATTATGACAATTAAACTGAATATGTCTTATTCGAATATTGATCCTTTTCGTACTACAGTGTGTTGAAGCCAAGGAATACATATTTTCAATTTTTTTAAGGTACTAACGGCAGATAAAGAAGTAGGAACTGCAGAAAATATAAGATCAAGCACAAGGCAGACTCAGCTATTACTGGATTATCTTAATCCTTCGTTTTCAGAATGCTGAAAAAAGAAAAGTTATTGAAATTTCTAAACAGTGACCTGTCATTGATACTCGAAGATATGCCTTTAAATTAAGGTAGTACATGTAGAGAAAATAGAATATCTAAACACAACATTTCCACATCGTTGGATCGGACGTGTCAGCGAATTTTCGTGGCCTGCGCGTTGTTCTGATTTGAACTCACTTGATTTTTTTCTTTAAATTTCTCGTCTACAAAGAGAGTACTAATACTCAAGAGCAGCTGTGTACAAAAATAGAAGAACAGTCAATATCATCCAATGGCAGCATTTAACTTTATACAATGTCAGATTCAATATGAATTAGAGGTTGCATCGGAATTGGTAGTCATTTCGAGAATATTTTACAGTAGGTAATTTTGTAATTGCGCCTAATAAAATATTTTTCCATTCTTTTTATTATTGTCTTTGTTAATCCATAGTTTTCATATCTTACAATATGTACTAATAATTTTATTTTGGTCTATAGTCTCTAAAATTTTAATATCATGTAATTCTAAACTAGATGAGTTTAGTAACTTACCAAGTATACATTTTTTATTTAAAATTTAACTCGATTTAACAAGGATTCAATGAATCAAGGCTGCATAAATATATTTTTTTTTGAGCAGTTCTAAGCCTCAAAAAAGTTTTTTTGAGGCTATTTTCCAGCAATGTTAAAATTGCAGGAACCGTAAATAAAAGAACATTTATGAGAACGTTTTCTAAAAACTGTATTATGAAAAAGTTATAACAGGCATATTATTTGCAATATTGCAAAAAGCTATAACTTCCAAATAAGCGAGATTATTATTAAATTATTATTAAATGACAAAAATAGAAAATTTGGAAAAGCACTTAATGAAGTGTCTTGAACATAATGAAAATATGATATTAAAACCTTGTCTGTTTAGACTTTGTAGGGTAAGGGTAATTTAGCATTAATACTACTGTTGACGGGTTAACGTATTTGTTTATTTTCATGGACGGTATTTTTCTTTCAAGTACCTTTAAGTTTATATGTATAATCAGTATTTTAGCCATACACATGATGATTCAAATAAAATAAGACGGTTTAAAAGAGTAGATGCTTGTGTTAAAAACATATTGTCGATGTCGATGCAACATGTAAAGAAATTTTGAAGAAATATGAAAAAAGTCGTACCAACTTGGTTTTGGTCAACACATTTGTTATAGATACCTATCTATAACAAATCTTCATCGTCACGGTAGCGCAGTCGGTCGAGAGTGCGGTGGCAAGCATTTCTCGGCCAGGCTTCCTATTCTGGTCCGGGTTCGATCCCCGGGGTCTGCACTGGCAATGTCGATGGATAATGGGTGTTTGTCCGCGTTTTTTCAAGTGTAGCCCCCTTCCGCACAGCCTTTGGCTTTGGATTTGGGGGTTGTCTCATTTCTGTGGTGTGTTTTATGTTTTATGTTATCTAACCCTCAATACTCAATAATTAACTCATTTGAATGTACCTATAAATGTAGAAATACTGTATTGGTGGTTACAAAGCTCTTTATGAAGATGTACCAAATGCAACATTTTTAATATATCGATCAATTCAGGTATCTTCCCTGAAAAACTAAAACACAGAATTTTACACTTTGTGAACAGTTATGAACTATTATCATCACAGCAGCATGGATTTAGACAAAAATTCTAGGCAAATGTTGCATTATTTGACTTTACGAATTTTATAAACTCTGCTGTTGATAAAAAAGAATATGTCATCACTTTGTTTTTTGATTTAACAGGGGCGTTTGATTGTGTAATAAGGAGTTGCGTAGCAAGAAAATTAAACACTTTAGGCATCAGAGGATCTTTCAGTAAATGGATGGAATCTTTTTTACACAAAGGAAAATTTCAGTAAAATTAGGTAACGTTAATTCCTCGGTAAGTTCACTTAACCTAGGAGTTCCACAGGGAAATGTGCTAGCGCCATTACTCTTTATTTTATTTATGAACGATCTAGATGCTTATTTATCGCACACAGCTAACAAATTTTTAGTAATGACGATGCTGCCATCTCTGTTAAAGCCGGATCTGTTAGTTTGCTTCAGCAGTGCGTAAATATAGTTCTCACACATTTTTCACGATTGGTGTGCACCGAATAAACTTTATTTTTTCAAATCAACCGCATAAATCATGCAAGTCATTATTCAAAGCAAATAAAATATTAACTGTGTCATCCGTTCTTATTTATGAAACAGCCTTATTCGGTAAGAAAAATTAAAATTTATTTCCCTGTCGTACCACGATTCATAATCACGATACAAGATGTGCAGCTAGTATTTTCACTGATAAATTCAGATAATCTCTCTATAAGAGAAGTGCATATTATACACTAAGTACAGTTTATAACAAATTACCTCTAACAATAAGAAATCTAACCAGTGTCTCTAAATTCAAAAAGAACTTTTAAAATTTCTTTACGAAAGGAGCTTTTACACTGTGAATAAATTCTTAGATACCTGTACATGATTCGTATTATCTCTATATCTTATTTTTTATTTTTATTTTATATGTATACGTTAGGTATAAATAATATGTAAGCCCTTATTTATGTATTATTGTAGTTTTGTATTGTTGTAGTTTTTCTTTCTCTTTTTTAAATTTGACTTTATTATCCTATGTTGGCATATATGAATTAAAATTTATTATTACTATTATTATTGTTTTGTAACTCCAGTAATTAAATACCAGTTTCTAAGAGAAGTGTCATTGTAAATAATAATGGTTCTTGAGTTTAAAGATAATCATATGCCAAAAGTTAAAGCCTTGATTCAATAACCTTTCCTTCCTTAAATGCTAGGGCAATGGATAATTCACAGTGGTCACTCGTGAGCCTTAATTGTTTCATTGTAAAGCACTAACACAAAATTTGAGAAGGAAAGAAGCCACGTAAAATATATGGTCATATCTACTATAGAAATATAAGCATCTTACTGATTGTGAGAGAGTTTGTGTTCTCAGAATCGTGTATGTCCAGCTTTAGTTACAATTCTAAATATCGCCGAGAAAAATGGAGATGGTAAAAACACTGGAGCTACAAAATATTTCCGCTTCGACGTCAATGTCTGAAATTAATAAAGTTTTGAAATTGTTAAGCAGTTTAAGACTACTAAGAAGAACATGTAAAAACATACACCGTAATATTCGTCATTTGTATAATAAATCGACGTTTAGACTTTTAATATCAGCCTAACATTATAAATCTCATTTTTCTGAGCAGTATGTACAAAAAAGGATACTGAGATATAATAAAAAAAAGTTATTTACAAGACATTTACATTTTATTTTTACTAAACAATGATAACTGTCGTTCAAGTTAAAGATAACAATATAATTAATTGTATAAGTATAATAATAATAATATTCTAACCCGTAGTCTTTTGCTTTGCTCGTGCAAAATGGCAAGGCAATACATAGAAAAACGATTTATTGGTGTATTGAAGAGAAATTAGCCAAACTTATTTTTTTTAAATAGAGCATCATATTCCATTAGAATCTGTTCTTCAGAATTACAATACCATAAAGTAAGAGACCTATAACATCCAACTGAGTAATGTTACCCTACTTCTGAAATTAAAAAAAAAAACGTTATAATAGAATGAAGGTAGATATAAATCTAATTTTTATATAAAGAACTGTGATGTATTGTATACAATCTGTTGGGCCTACACATATAAGGAATGAGCTAATACGTTACAATTTACCAATTGATAAAATGTTCCATATACCCACTTAAAAAATTGGTTACTTTGCTAAGGAAAAGATATAATCTGCCGAGGATACAGATATATTGGATTATATACTTCACAAAGGAAACCGTCCCTGAAGAATGATTAATAAAATATTCTGAGCCGTGTT